CTCTGGGCTCCAGCCCGGCACCATATCGTTGCCTGCAGGACTCACCTGGCCAGCTGCGACCCGGTGCTCCTCCGGTAGCTGATAAATACATCAGTCCCATTGGATGCAGTTTGCAGCGTTATAGGGGAGTGAAGCATTTCTAGGCAGAGCAAACAGCAACCAAAAATTAAAAATACCCAACAGCTCGTCCCAAACAACCCTTGACACTCGCCCCCACCCGCCTGCTCCGGCGCAGCGAGCAGCAGCGGGACCCCCACCCCTTGCAGCAGTGAGGATGCGGACGCGGTGGAAGCCCGTGTTGATGTGGCAGTCCTCCTGCAGCTGCTGCTCCGTCACCCGGTGCAAGAAGTTGCGGTTGATGCCGCAGGTCAGCAGGTTGTACGTGTACTGACGAAACCTGGGGTCGATGCCGCCCAGCCAGTCGGCCAGGTTGCTGCGGTCGCAGGTGGAATAGTTTGCAAAGGTCTTCAGCTCTGTCAGCTCCCGGAAAAACCTGGCAGAGAAACAAGTGACAGCGTGGAGTGGGGAGGGGAGGCTGCTGGACCAGGCAGGACCTAGAGACATTTGGTAGCACATCTTTTATCTGCACAGGAGAGAGTGCAGCTACATGCCATGGTGAAGAATGAGCTAAAGGAACAGAAAAAGAGAAGAACAGCTGCATGACTTGCAGCAGTGTTGGTCCTCAGGACACAGAGGTATGAGGAGCTCAGCTAAGGGAGGAGAAGCTCACGTAAGTTCCCATCTTTCTGGGTAACTTGCAGGATCCCACCTCCCCTGTGCCATAGGTGGTCTCTCCCCATCCCACACCTCTCCCGTGCATTGGTCCCATTGCAGGAATCCCTCTGGGACTGCATACTGCACTGGAAAAGCCCCGGCAGTCCAGGTTTTGCGTTTTGAGGATCCTGTTCTTGTCTTTGCAAGAAGGGAAAGGCACAGGCCTTTTCCCTGGCTCTGCCACTGTGGTGATGAGCATGAGGGAGGCCAGCGTGCCCTGGTGGCGGTCCTACCTTTTCCGAGTGATGCTGGAGTCCATCCCCAAATCCTCCTGCAGCTCCTCCTCTGTCAGCCTCAGGAGAATGTCCCCATCCACCTGGTGGTCCTGCCAAGAGAAATCCAGGCTGGAAAGGTCCCAGGAAAAGCTGTCGGGTGAGATGCTTACACCTCTGCTGCAAGATGGGACAAAAGGGCCCATCCAGGTGTCCCTCCCCCGGCACGCAGCCCTACCAGGAAGCTCTGGCAGTATTTGTTGAATCCGATCTGCTGCAGCCACGTCTGCACCTCGCAGGGCTTCCAGTTGGGAACTGTGGGCAGGATGCGCCGAGGAACCTCCTCCCCTATCATGCGCAGCACCTTTTTGGCCAGAGAGGAGGTGGTGCTGCTGGTGGAGTAGCACACTACCCTCTTCAGGCTCTGCGTAGCCCCAGTCTCGCTGAAAATCTGGGGACACAAAGGGAGGAGACATCACTGCTTTCCCTCCTCCTCCCCACAACCTGTGCCAGGCCAGCTGAGGACCAGGGTACTTGGTGAGCTCATAGAGGAGCAAAAGACACCAAGATGCAGTTGTGGCAACACTTCCCTTTTGCATCTCCTTCCTTCAGGCCAACCTACCCTTTACCTTTGTTTTCTTCTGCCTGGTTTTGATGGCAGCCTCCGTGCAGAGGTAGAAGGCGGCGATGCACTGTGCTTCCAGACGCGAGCTGTCCAGCAAGGGTACCAGCCGCTGCAGGTCGTCTGCCGTCCTCCCCTGGCTGTTGTCACTGCTGCCCAGCATCTCACAGGCGAACTGCTCCGGATCCAGTGAGGCGATGAACGGCTCCACCAGAGCCAGCGTCCCCGAGCGCTCCACCTCCTTCTCGATTTCTTTGTTGGTGGCCAGCACCGTGATGGCCAGGCACGCGTGCAGGCGGATTAGTTCATCGTCTCTTGAAAACACCAGTGGGAAAAGCCACTCCGCTGTCCTCTTCTCGATCATCAGGCGCTGGTTGGCCTGCCCTCCGTACATGGCACAGTTGGCCAAGGCCATGGCGCAGTGCCGCAGCACGATGGGGTCCGTCCAGCGGCACCAGTAGAGGATAGCATCCAGGCCTCCATCAGAGATGAGCTGGAAACAGGTCTCCTCGGTGTGTTTGAACATGTGCTCCAGGATACCAGAGACGCTCTGTGCCAGCTGGGGAACATCTCGCTCCTTGGCTAAGTTCAGAATCACTCCCAGACCGATCCGAGCGATCCGATCCCTGCAGGAAGGAGAGGCACAGGCAGGTGAGGGGCAGATGGTCGTGCAGGGAGTGGGAACAGTGACTGGCGTGTGAACTCCCCCGTGCTTCGGTGGCGTTTGCCCCATGACAGCCAGATGTTTCCCTGTGGGACACAGCTGCCAGATACGCTGTCAGGCTGCGATGCAGTGAGATGCAACAGGCTGGTGTTGGAAGATCCTGTCTGGGTCTGATGGAAGAGCTTGTGATGGGACAGGACATGGGGTGCATAGCCCAGGACCACCACGCATAGGCTCTCGTGCTCGAGGTGGGACGTACAGCGCAGGGTAGCCTAATGCCAGGCTGGAAATAGATCTGCTTAGTCAGTTTTGCTGTGTGTGTGTGTGTGAGCTGCTTCGTGTTCGGGGGTGAAAACTCGTTTGTCCCTAAGCAGTGCTGTCCTCTTGCTGCCTTCCAGACCGGTGCCAAGCCCAGGACAGGGGTTTCACACCTGGCTGAGCAGCCACGCAGAACTGGTCATGGGGGCGTGCGAGAGACGGGGATCTGCCTGTCCTGGGATGGCAGCGTGGAGGCAGCTTGGAGGAAAGCTGTGTATTTCCTCAATCCTGCACTCTCCTAGAAGGGGACAGCAAGAGCCTGGGGGCAGGTGGCCGAGGGCCACCAGCTGCTGCTCGGCCATGGCTGCCCTTGAGAGCCCCGTGCTGCGAGGATGGTCTTAAAATGACACTTGAATGGGGCTGTGCCCTAAAAGCATAGAGTGAGGAAGGGGAAAATCACGGGCTCTTGGCTGCCCTCGCATGAGCTTGCCTGGGTCGAGGGGGCAGCTCCATCTCTGCCCTTAGAAATGACCTGTTTGGTGCCGTGATGGAGCTGCTCCGTTCACAAGGCGCAAGCGCTGGCGTGGATGCCCCACGCCATGCTTGCTCATGAGGGCAGTGGCGCGTTTGGGCCCCCAGCGATGGTGGGGGTGAAGGCACGCCAGCCTCTCTGCGGGAAGAGCATTTCTGGGAAGCCTGTGGCCCGCATGGCTCACGCTGACCTTGGGGTAGGTTTGGCAGCAAACGCTGTGGAGAGCTCTGGAAAAAAAAAAAACAACCCTCAGCCTGGGACTGGCTCCGAGCCCGGACTCAGCCACGGAGCCGGATGACACACACAGCCCCGCCAGGTCCCCGACTCCCCGCAGCTGTGGGATGGAGCCAGGACTGGTCCAGCTCCCGGCTAAGCACGGCTGCTTCTGCGCACGGATGCTGGGAGAGGTCTCTAAGCCAGAGGCTTGGACCCAGGGGGGGAGCCTACGCCTCCCTGCCATCACTCGGAGGTCGATGGTGGGTCAGGCTGCAGGGAGCGAGGGGCTGGGGGCACATGGCTGCTCCAAGACCCTGGCCCATGAACTGCTCCTGGAGCAGAGACGGTGACTCCAGCAGCTGCTTTCTCTTGCCAGGAAGCTAAGTGCTGAATTCAGACCGTGCCAGTGATGTTTCCTAGGATTAATTCCACTCTAATGGATTTCCTGATTTAGCTGTTGCTTCTTTTTGCCTGCCAGTGTGTGCAGTGAGGCCCAGGCTGCGAGTCCACAACCTTACAGCAAGACACATCGCCCGTGAAGCTGGAGCAAGACCGTAAACTTTGGCCAGGCTTCCTCCACACGCGCCCGAAGCCCTGGCTGGGGCCGGCTGGGCTGGGACGCACCGAGGGAGAGCGGAGCTGGCAGAGCCCCCGTGTTTGCCTTGCGGGGTCCCGGGAGAGAAAGGCCTGATCCTGACCCAGCCCGCGGCAGGTATACGGCTCCTCTCTGGGATCGTCACACCGCAGGCGGTGCTGCCGGGACATGCTGAACCAGACACGGGGCAGAGCGGAGAGTTTTGCCTGTCGGGGGACCTTGCAGGAGTGCGCTCATGGTGTTTGAAGGGCGAGCTGCGTGCGGGCGCTGCATCAGCACCGCTGTACATTTAGATGTGTGGGGTGTGCCACGTGTGCACGTGCACCCTCATGCATGTGCTCATACACACACACAGACACACACGCTCCCACCCCACGTGTGAGGACGCTTTGGCAGAGCCAGCCCAACACCTCTCACCTGTCCTGGGGCGCAGCACGAGTGTCTCCAGCCTCTGAGCTAGGGGCCACGGGCTGGGGGGCTCCGAGGGCCGCCAGCTGGCCGGCCCCCTCCTTATGGCCTCATTCCAGCCCTGGTCAGCAGCAGAAAGTCTCTGGGAACCAGCTTCATCCTCCTCCTCCTGCTGCAGTTATGGCTAAGGGGGAATTGTGTCTCGTCCTGGGGGGTCAGATGCTCTGGGCCAGCCAAACTGACCCAGCTCAACCACAAAGGGTGTCTTGGGCACATCTGGGTGGCCCCAGGCTGAGGGTGGCTCATGAGAACACCCCGATCCTCACCAGCATCCCATGAGCTGGG